GACTTGTGGGCTTGGGCAGCATTGGGTTGGGATGTTTTCGTGATGCACATTTTCTTTACATAAAACTCTCTCTTATACGTGAGTCGCCATGGATTTGTTTCTCCAAAGTACCTAGACTAATACAATGTGCTAGGCCAGCAGTTCAAAGCCACCAGCCACTCCAAGGTAGACAGATGAGGCTCTAAAAAGATTTACAAGGTTTGTAAATTATACAATCCAAATCCAAAGGAGACAATCGTATCAGAGCTGAAATTGTGATATTTGGCGTCATAAGACTTTGGATGACAGTGGAAGCTCAAAATACATTTACAGGGTACACAGGAAACAAACCATCAGTGATCTCCCTCTAACCATAACTGAGAGATGGGAATAAGTTGGTGATCATACAGAGAGACGAAAATAGTAGGTTAAAATGATAAATCTGACTTGAATGGTTAAAACCTTGCTATTTGATCTCTTGAAACACTTTGTGCTTAATCTGGCTTTTAATATTATCTTTTTTTTTTCACATAGGGGTTTATGTCTGTTGTATTTTGCTTTGGTTGGTAGCCTTTTTGACTCCCTGAAATGTCTTTTTCTGGTTTTGTCTCTTTTTTTAATGTATGAAGTTCAGGATTGGTGAATCTGCAGGGACACTAACTAGAATTAGGCTTCCTGGGGGCTAAAGCAGGGGAGGGAAGGGGTAAAGGGGAACTGATATAAATGAGTTCAGGAAGGAAGGAAATATTTTGAACTGATTGTGTTAGTAATTGCACAACACTGCTCGATAAGACTGAACTTTAGAAAGGTATTGTTAGGTAGGCTAGCATAGGGCTGGGGGATGTCCGTTAATGCATGCCCAGAGGATCAAACTATGGAAACAAAGGAGTGGCACACTGCATATGCTCAGAGGTTCAGGCTTCCCCTGGGTATGCATGGGTAGGCGCTGAACCTGGAGTGGCCCACCTAGGCCAGATGAATTCAATTCAGCCAATGGGGTCATCCACCACGCCTCCATGAGAAATCATTGAAAAGGCAGGAGCTCTGGGTCAACCAGCAGAACTTTGGGAGGACCCTGTGAGACTTTGCATGAATCTGCAAGCAGTTTCCAGACAAGCTGTATACTCGGGAGGAGCCCCTCGGGTGCCATGTAAATCTAAAACTTCTTCTAACCCACATAAAACTCACTTGGATCACAAACCAGGCTTCAGTGTGAATTCTTTCTCACGAGGAGCCAATGACCGAGGTATATCTAGCTCCAGAGAGATCTAACAGTATGATGTCTGGATCAGATCCTAATAACCTGGTTTGAGGGGGGGACAAAACATTAAAGAATCTTAGTTGGTGAACAATATTTTAAAAGACTTTTATTTTGAATACTTTAAAAATTACTTTAACTTTGCAGCCAGTCCACACAGCCAGCGGTTTCACTCTGGGGCCAGTGCAGGGATGGAGGTTTGCAAGCATCATTGTTTGTGCTACAGTTGAAGAACAGTGTTCCCTTCTCAACAGCAAAGATAAAGAAATAAGGTCATGCTATGAGGTGGAATCTACTGGAAGGCAGTAAGTTGGTTTTGTTGTTGTTTTGTATATTCCATGTAATATGCATAACAATCAGTTTTGGGAATGTTAGCATGTGTTTAGCAGAAGGGAGGAGGGGTAGGGTCTAGGATGCCAGCTACTAAAGAGTATTTTGGGATCCAGAAAATCCTGAGAAAGGCAGTCAACCAGCAAAGTCATCACAACACACTAGCCAGACTGACACTTCTGGTTCTAAACCCATCTGGATCTGTCATGAACTCTGGGAAAGGGCAGAAGACTGCACTTGGATTACCTGTTTCCTCAATTTCCAATTCCTATTGAGGTTTATTTTAGATGTATTTTGTAATTTTGGGGTAACACTCTAGACTTTTTGTTATGTGTTTTTCTGTTTTAAGTAAATTAAACTGATAATTGATTAATGTATAGAGAAAGCAAGTCAAATAAGGGATTCTGGGGCATACAGTGGGGCTGGCGGGCTGGGGGAGCAGATGTTAAGGAATTCAAGAAGGACAAGGTTTCATTGATTGTAACGGATCATGGTAGCAATTGTACAGTACTGTATGATGTGATTGAACTATGGAAAAATATGGTTTCTGTATTAGCTCCCAATAAAATGATTTGGAAGAAAAATAAACAAATAAATAAAATATTAAATAAAAACTGTTTATTCCATTGCCAACACTTTTTGTAAATTCAAATTTCTAACTTATATCATATTTTTTTCCTGTTCAATATTTTAGCTAGTTTTTTGAAATGTTATTGTACTAGCAAGAATTGCAATCAGTTCTGATTATGTGTGAAAAACATCTCTATTTTTAAACTTTATTTCTCATGGTACACATATATGCGACAGAACAATATCTTGAACAGAATTCTCATGCTTAATTCAGCGTAATTAGATTATCATTCTGTTCAACAGTTACCAACAACCTTAAAAATTTTGTATCACACAAATAACATAACCCCCCACCAAAAAAAAGAATTCTGGCTTGACAATTTCTTCCTTAACATGGAATAATCATAACCATAAATTTCCTGCTTCAATTATTTTGAGTATAAATCTGCTTTATGAAATCTGCTTTATAAATCTGCTTCCTATGAAAAAAAATGCAGCCTAAACTCTATTTAATACCTTTTCATTGATGTTGAGAAACATTTCTTTTTTAATCAGTATTTTATTTTGGCACACATCTCAATATCATATCTATATAAATATCTATATATAGATCATACTTCTTCCACTGTAGCCAATTCAGAATGTTGGCAACTTATAGCACTCTCTACCCTGGAAGTTCTTCAGTGTGGGAGAGTCAGTGTGAGCCCAGACATAAAACTAACTTCAGGAAGATAGTTGACTAGCAGAGCAGCTAAGGACCCACCAGCTTCTAGACCAAGTTAAAAAAGAAGTGAGGACAGGAGCCTGGATGAGGACTGCAGTGCCTGGTCAGCTAGAACTGCTGTGCTGACCACTAGGGTAGCTCTACTTCCCATGGCAGGAAACCTGCAGAGACAACTCCAGGTAACACTCCTAACCATGAGTCTGAAAGCTTAGGGCCAGAGAAAATGTTGCTGTGCGACCCACTGAAGGTGGAAGACAATGTGAGCCCAGGAAACACCTCTCCTGTATGTGGTGGGATGCTGTCAGCAGGGGGCTCTCAGAATACACTGAGCCCAACACCCACCTGGGTACTAATTCATGGGGGAAATGAGCTTCTTACTACTTCTGTGGTTTCTTGTTACCTCAAAAATAACCTTGTTATTAGGAAACCTTTTTATTCCAACTTGTATGTAGAAGATAATGTTGAAGTAACTTTTACCCCTTCCCAAATATTCTGAAATGCCATAGGGGAAAGGAGCATTAGGGATGACATGCACTTGTTTCCCTATAAGTTGAGATGTATGAAAAGGTTCAGGAACGCCTGGTCTTGATTCAATTACTTGGTGAGGATATTGATTGTGTTTAATTTCACTAGATGACCTGTGTACTTCTGATGGTAATGGATGTAAAGCTACATTAAACTTAAAATCTGCACGTATGTTCGCATGATTGGTAGAGTGAAGACCTCAGAGAGGGGGCTGTGTTCTCCCAAGGACACCACCAGCATCACTTTTCTAGTCTGAGTCCCAGAGGCAGGGGCTTCATTCAGCCCTTCCCACCTTTACATTCAAATGCACCTCCCACTTGCAAATACCAGTCTCATGAAACCACAGCATGCATGGATTTAAATTCATATTCCTCCTCCCCCTGGAGAGCATTTTGTGGGTGTCATGAATCTTATCCACATGAACATGAATTGTGTGTGGGTTTTCCTCTTTCTGGTGGCGACTCTGGGAGGTGAGTGCTTCAGGGATTCACACATGAAGTCTGGGGATGCAGCATCTGAGCACATGAATCACTGGGTTTCTCTTTATCTCCAGGTGTCCTGGCTCAGGTGCAGTTACAAGAGTGGGGCCCTGGCCTGGTGAAGCCCTCACAGACGTTGTCTCTCACCTGTGCTGCTTATGGATTCTCTTTAACCAGCACTGGGGTGCACTGGATCCGCCAGTCTCCAGGAAAGGTACTGGAGTGGCTTGGTGTTGTGTGGGGTGGTGGGAGCACAGATTATAATCCAGCTTTCCAGTCCAGGGTCAGCATCACCAGGGACACCTCCAAGAGCCAAGTTTCTTTAAAACTGAGCTCTGTGAATCCTGAGGACACAGCCATGTATTACTGTGCTAGAGACACAGTGATGGGAAGTCAGTGTGAGCCCAGACACAAACCTTAGTACATCAGGTCATGGTTTCAGCGGATGTGAAAGAGACAAGTCAGTGATGTTTTCCTCTCAAAAGCTGTGGTTTCCCCCACCTTCTCAGCACCTCTCTAGGGACCACCAAGCACAGACTCTAGGAAGCTTTCATGTATCAGAACATGCCTTCTTTTAATTGGAATGGGCTTTGTCTATGTTTCACATTTTATGCAAAGGCAACTTCAAAGTAATAGGTATCAATGAGATCTCAGTTTACAATTAAGGGTACTACCTAGTGCTGTTTGTTGTCAAAATTAGAAATATTACAAAAAACACAAACTGCTATCGAGTTGATGACAATTTATAGTGATGCCCCTGTGGGTTTCTGAGATTCTAACTGCTTATGGGTGTAGAAAGCCCTGTCTTTCTTCTTTGGAGTGGGCACTGGAAAACATATCTCAGCCCAACACATGACCTCTACGCCACCAGCCTTGTTATAAAAATATTAATGCAGGAAAAGTTTTCATGTGAATCGCAAATTTTCTCCAAGCCATCAGGTGGATGTTCAATGTTTTCATTCCAGTGAATGCTCATAAATGTACATTTATGTAATGATTTTAATTTACGATGATCTGGATAATGACCTGGACCATAATTTTATATGTTGATATTGTTAGGTTCCCTTGAGTTGGCTTCAACTCACAGATATCCTATGTACAACCGTTTGAAATACTGCCTGGAAGTATACTATCCTCAGAATCATTCCATTGTTTGGACTCATCATTGCAGCCTTGTGACAATCCCTCTCCTTGAAAGTCTCTCTCTTTTGCATTGACATTCTAATTTACCAAGCACAAGACCATTCTCTGGGTTTTGGTTCCTCCTAATGACATGCCCAAATAAGTGAGATAAAATCTTACTTGAATGCTTCCAAGAAGCATCCAAGATATGCTTATGCCAAGACAGACCTGCTTGTCCTTCAGGAAGTCCATGATACATTTTATATTATTCTCTAGCACCATAATCCAAATGCATCAATTCTTCTTTGATACTTCTTAAAGGGTAATTGGCCTTTATTAAGAGTCACTCTTAGTTATAACAACTGTGGAAGCTGTTTCAGGCACTACAGATAATGTTCAGGTTCTTGCTAAAACCACACCAATGTATAGGACAGCATCCTACAATAAATACTCAAGGAGCAAAAAATAGCATTAGTGCCAACATTGAAGAAATCTATATAATGTCTTAACTCCGGTCAACATGACGAGAAATGCTCATCTTCAGAAAGCAAAGGTCGATGCATGTAAGTTATACTTAGGTCAACCTGGACCACAAAACTATGTAGCACAATGATTAAATGCTCAAGTTTTAGCCAAAAGATCTGCAGTTCAAAACCACTCAGTGAATCCATTGGTTAAAGACCTGATAACTGTCTTCCATCAGTATTAAAGAAAAGAAAGTCCTATTCAGATAGTTCTTCTCTTTCATGCAGAGTATAACCATCCTGCACTCAAACATCCTTGGATGCTTAACATTATATAATGATGTAGACAAGACATTTGCTACCAGTAATTAGCCAAGACACAGTGAACTGCAACATAAGAATTATCATAAAGACAGTTTATTGTTACATATTTCCCTTTGCTAGGTGTGTTTTTCCCCAGCACTATCATTCATCTTGGGAAGAATGTTGTGTGTTTTGATTTTTTGTCGTTTTTGAATATGTTAAATGCCACAGAGTCAGTTCCAATCCTCAGTGATGCAATGTTCAACAGAACAAAATAGTGCCTTGTTCGGCACCATAATCACAATGAATATTTTTGAGCTCATTGTTATAGCCACTGTGTCTATCCATCATAATGTGCCTTACTCTTCATTGATCACCTACTTTATCATGGCTGATGTCTTTCTCAAGGGACTGGTATCATAACTACATGAAACAAAGTCTCACCATCCTTGAATCTAAGGAACTCTCTGGCTGTACTCCCTTCAAAAGAGATCTATTTGTTTTATTGCCAACTCATCCCACAGTATTTTCATCATTCTTTTTCAACACCATAGTCAAAGGACATCATTTTTCTATGGCCTTCCTTATTCATAGTCCAGAGCTCATATGCTTAATAATATTGAAAATATTATGACTTGGATTCTAAAAGTGACATTTAAGAAACCTTGTAATATGGGCCGATTGGTGCAGAGATATAGAGGGCTATGGCGGTGCTGTGGGATAAGATTTGGTTGCTCACCAAAAGGCCAGGGATTCAAACCAGCCAATGGTCCCCCCTGAGTACGATGACTTCTATTCCTGTAAATAAGTACAGTCAGAGAAAGCCTAGCGGGCAGTTCTAATCAGTCTTCTAATGTTCCTATGAGTCAGAATAGATGCAATCAGAGTGGGTTTGGTTTTGGAGGAAGAGATTGCTCATTTCCTAGCTTACTTGCTTGGTTTACGAAGTTGCCCTCAGTGCAGAAGAATATTTGGTGTTTTCATACCTCAGACTTCACAAAGAATAAATTAATGCATGAATTAGTGGATGCATACGTTCAAATCAAACAATACTGCTACACTGGAACACTGATAATTTTCTAATTTCAAATATTGGAATCTGGGGAGCCTACTAATTGAAGGTATGCCTGTGGGTCACATCACTCCTATCTCTGTCATCCAACTTGTTTCAAGAACCAGCTCTAGAGACATTTTCTTGTGGTGCTTTTGCATTCGCATACTGTTTATAGTCCCCACCTCTTATAACAGCCAGTAACACTCTTATGCAAATGCCTGTTGTGGTTTCTTACTTAAATGAGATCAACACCATCACCACCCTGCAATCAGGGGATTCCAGAGTCTTTTGAGTCAGGGTGTCTTTGATACAGAAATGTCTTCCTCCTTTCTCTTCCTACTCCTGATGGTGCTGGGTCTCCCGTCGGTTCAGTGTCAAGGAGATGCAGTGGGTCACAGCAGATTCAAGACACATGGGTCCTTTAATGCTTGTTCCTAAGACTCCAGGGGTCCTGTCCCACATGCAAGTACAGGAATCAGACGCTCAGGTGGTAAAACCTTCACAGACCCTCACTCCTACCTGTATTATCACTAAGGCCTCTGCTTCCAGAACCAGTGCTACTTGGGATTGGATCAGGAAGAACCCTGAGAGAGGCCTTGAGCAGATAGGAAGGGCCTTCTATGCATCAGAGTGGTTAAGCAAAGACACACTATCTCTCAGAGACCATCTAGTCATTGACCCAGACACATCCAAGAACTAGTGCTACCTGTGGCTGAGCTCTGTGACCACTGATGACCACTGTGCAAGGAGCCAAGGAGAGGGAAAGGATCCCCCACACAAACAACCCTGCAGGACAGCTGGGGTGGGGAGTTGTGGGGAAAGACTGATGTAAGAGATCAGCAGTGGGAGCTCAGGCCCAAATGAACAGGCCCAGGAACCAGAAGCAGGTGGGTTTGTGAGCACAGATGGGATTTTCTGTTGTGTCTTCGGCTGGCTATGTTCCCACTGCTTAGCAGCTGATTGAGAGGAAGCTCTTCTATTTTGTCTTATGTCTTAACTTAGAAGAGGAAAAAATATTGTGAAAGCAAATATACAGGAAAAACAGAAATATACTCCACTAAAATAAGTGATAGAAAATGGGTAAGACTATACCCATTTATGTCCCCAAACCAGAGTGTGGGTAGGAAAAGCCTCGTTGGGGTTCACATGAATTCTTCTCCACTGTTTATCTTGCACATTCATACAAGGTTATGTCCTATATTTCAATCCATTAATTTGAAAAGGGAAAATATTTTTTAAATCATCTCTTGAGTTGTTAATCTGCCTTGGATTAGTGAAACATAGTCTGTTTGTGACCCTTGTCTTTATATGTGGATCAATCCATTCTAGTATGTTCTCTAGAGAGTGGCTAATTCACATCCAGAGAACCTGAAACACAAGTGAGTCTTTTTTTCTGGTGGCCATTTCCAAAGGCGAGTGTCTTTGTGATTCAGAGACAAAAGTCTAGAGATGTTCCACTTGAACATATGGCTGGCTCGCTGTGATTGTCCTTTTTCTCTTAGGTCCATCTCAGGTTCAGGTATGGGGGTTTCCTCCCTCCCTCCCAAAAACCCAACTTACTGCTATTGAGTCAATTAAGACTCATAGAAATCATACAGGAGAAAACATAACCATTCCTTTGGATTTCTGAGACTGTAAAACTTTCAATGACCAGAAAGCTTCATCTTTCTCCTGAGGAGTATATGGTGGTCTTGAATGGCAGAACTTGCAATTAATAGTCTACTGTGTAATCCATAACACCACAGGATCTCCGAGGTTATATAGTGTGTGTAGTTCTGACCTTGCTTATGCCGGGTCTATTTTGTTTTTCTTTTCAAACTTGAGCATTTTCTTTTAAAATTTGGTCAGTAATTTCCATGTCCTTAAAGATAGACGCTGGGATCTTGTTCAGAATTGTAATATAATTATAGATCGCTAAAAGTGGGTTATTTTCACAAGTCAAGCCTTCCTCTTCATGAACATGGTCCATTATTCTAATTATTTGCGTGTCTTTTGGTACCTTGAAGTAGTGTTTTTCTTATACTTTTTTTTCTATAAGACTTTTGTTTCACTGCTTAGGTTTATTTCAATTTATTTTATCTTTTAGGTGGCTATTGTAAATGGTATTAATTTTCGATTTCCTTTCAGAGCTTTCTCTATAAGTACGTGGAAATCAAACTGATTTTCTATGTTGACTTTATAACCTGTGAAATTGTTTAACCTTTCAACTAGTTTCAATAATTTTCTTCTATGGCTTTTGGATTTTCTATGTTTAGAATTATGCCATCATCAATTACAGAGAGTTTTACTTCTCTGTGGCCATTTTGGATGCCTTTGTTTTACATTTGTTGATTGATGGCTATAGTTAAGAGTTTGTGTTAGTCAGGGTTGACCAGAGAAACAAATTCATAGACACTCATATGTGTTTAAGAAAGAACTTTATATTAAACAGCAATTGTATATTGAGAAAAATCCGAGCCCAGTCCAGATCAAGTCCCT